CAGGAATGGCTTTGTGTAACTAAATGTTGTACAGTATAATCCTCCCTGCTCACACAGCTGGATCTGTGCACTTCTCTCCGGTGAAGTGAGTCATTCCATCAGTTGCACAGCAGCGATTTCCTGATGACATTCACAAATGTCATCATTCTGTCTCTTATGAAGACACTGGATGTTTGGCTTTTCTGTCCAATAGTAATTAGTGATTTTTGTAAAATGATAAAGCCATATATCACTTATTTACTGTATTCGAATTCCCACTTCCAACCACCTTGAATAACTATGATCAATGTTATTTCTAGCTAATGCTGCACTCTGGTTTAGTACTACAGTTTTTTAAAACCTACACCAAACTGATCTAAAAAACTGGCAGTATCCATTAATTTATTACATTTATACATGAAATGAAACATACATTTCTTTTTTCTTAAAGACAACCACTCGAGATTTTTTACGTATGAAATACTTACTGACCATTGGCTCTTACCTCTGAGCTGAAACATGTTCACAAGATCAAACATCCCAGAATCATACTGGGAACATTATCTTTGAATCGTAAAGAAGAAAGCTTCTATATCAGTATGTTTCTGTGAAGATTTCCATACATGATTTGAATGCAGCACAAGTATAAAAATTCTTTCCTTGCAGTCTGAGGTAAACACATGATTCAGCAGTTGTTAAACAACAGGGAAATGTTATTGATGGCCGCTCCACTGCGTTGTGGTTACCACACAACACAAATACACAGACTGAGATTGAAAGTTTTAATATGAAGAAGCAGCGACCCTCAGGGTGCTGAAAGTCCATGGTGTTGGAGAAGCTGAGGGTTGTGACATATCAACACAATCTATGTGGAGATAGATAGTCTGAACAGCTGCTGCTAAGCCTAGCTTCTGCTTCTGTGACTGTTGGTCTGTGGTGGCCCTGGTGAGACAGGAAGTTTGAAGAGATTGTGCTTCTTAGTGCTGCTTTCCTGAAGCAAACCTTTATGCCTGTCAGCGCTTCAGAGTCATAACAAGAGGCATTTCATTGTCTTTCAAAATAGATGCACAAATGAGGTTCTTTTTATAATAACCCAGTTGGATGATGTTTTGACTACAAGGCATTAATAAAATGATCTCATGTCCCTAGGCTTTATCTGTATTTACTCTCAGTGGAGATAAAAATTACATTGTAAAAGGAATGCGCACATATAACACACCCTGAGCTGTTTATTCATCAGACCTTTTGTCTGCGTGCTCTCTAGGTGAGCAGCCCAGAGGAAACCTCATATCTGAAGTCGCTGAAAAAAAAAGTAAGTTCCGTCTCATCTTGGCAACTTGGGCTGTTTTCTGCTGAACATGGTCTTCCTGTCTGACAGAATTCTTCAGGTCACCTTAAGTAGTCTTTTTTTAATTTAATATTATTTTTTTCCAAATATTATTTATAATGTACTTCATATCCTTTCTGAGAAAAATAAACCATACTGAATATCAGAATATGTTTTTCTATAGCCATGCAGGTACACAAACAGTACAGTATGTCTGTTTATATTTGGGCTAAATGCTGTATAAAGCAGGTATTTCTAGCTTGACTTTTTAGCTTAGAATTAAATTCTATATTTACAGCTACTTACTTATGTAAGTTGCAGATCAGACTGAAATCATTCCAAACATGTGGGCCTTTGTGGTATTTTGAGATAAGTGTAATAAGGAGTGTTTCTCTCGCAGGTTCCATCCCACCAGGTGAAGATGAAGTCGGACGACCAGGAGCCCTCAAGAGGTTCAGTGCCATGTGGTCCTCTTTTCGCAGAGGCAGGAAAGAAAGTGAGTTTTTGCAGGAAAGCTCCTGCTAAATATTTGTTCAGTTAAATTTAGTTTGCGAAACTAATTGCATAAAAAAGTTTGAAACATGATTTAAAGTAAAGAGTGAATGACAGCTGAAAATGACACAGACAAACGTTGGCCATAGGGGATTAAAATACATTTACCCTCAGACCACAAAGCCTGTAAACAGTTTTCTATGCATTTTTCTATTACCTGAATATCATTTTTTTTATATTTACTTATCTGTACAGAAGGGAAAGACCCTGAACCTCCTGAACCGTTGGATCCAATAGAGCCACAAAACGTATCTAGGCAGCACCGCTATGTCAGTGGTCAGTACTTCTTCGAATACCTAGTGGTGGTCAGCCTCAAGAAGACCAGGGATGGGAGCAGCTATGAACCTCAGATCACCTACCAGTTTCCCAAGGTCAGTTTGACAATGTTAGACACTGTTATGATTGTGGTGGTGGTTCCCATAGAAATAAATCCTCCAGCCAAAAAAAGGAGAGGCGAGTGGCTTATTTATACCAGCAACAACTTCCAGACGGCGATGGTGAGCGGCCAGGTATGCACTTTGTGTCGTAGCATAAGCACTAATGTTTGAGACACTTTTATTGTCTTTGAGCTAAAGCAGCTGAAAAGTTAGAACGTGAGGGTGAAGAACCACAGACAGAATCCAAGGAGCCACACTACACTCTGTAACCTTTAGAGAGGACGTGGTTTTCAATTAAAGATCATAGTTCTTTATGTCTGTGTAAGTTCTCAGTCGTCCAGGTCATCTCATCCACAGACGTTACTGTACAGCAAGAGCAACTGGACTGGTTAGATTTCTTGAAGACGTTTCACCTCTCTTTCAAAGGGCTTCTTCAGGTTGTCTTCAAGAAACCTTCAGTTCTTTATGATGATATGGTCGTTTCCTCCAGACATGCGGTGCAGACTCCCAGTGAGAGTCACTGATTTAGATGTGCAAAATCAGATTCAGACAATCTTGGCTTTCCAGCCAAGGCAGTGACTTTATCACTGTGCATCGTTTGTATTACTATTGTATTTGAAGTACATCTGCGTGTGTGTGTATTTCCTGTGTGTACTTTTAGAGGGATACGATGGCCAGACATCAGATAGAGGAGGAAGAGAAGCTGCTGAAAGCAATCACACTCTTTTCTTTTCCCGAGGGAATTAACTGGGCTCCTTTGACTGAGTACCACAGGTCTGTCAGTGACTCTACTACTGTGGTTGACTTCTGTTTTATTACTCTACCTGTATCTTTTTTGGGGGGGGAAGCAATTAGAATGTAATTAAGTTTGTGAACATCTGAGCACCTGGTTTCAGATGAGGCAGGGTCCATTTCAGTGCCTGGTTTGAAGTTAATTTATTGAATCCTTTTGAAGATGAAGGTTAAACAGCATTAATTCATCACACCACCGTCTCCTGTAGGTCGCCCTGTCTTTGCAGACATTTTTTGACTAGGTTACAGAGAGGTTCTGTATTTACTGAATCTTCATCTATTTGTATCAATTCTGATCTGTTGGATTATTCCCTTAATGATATGTGTATCACAGAGAAACTGTAAAGCTTTTACTCTTTGTAGCTGCTTTTTGTCACCTAATAACTGTTTTCTGCTGTAATGGACTCTTTTATCAACAAATACTAAAATACTATTTCAGTAAAATACTTCAAGGAGCTACAAATTATATATATATATATATATTGCCTAGTTCTGATTTCTCTACCTTGGGTTTTGCAGTGAGACCTTCTCCTTTGTTCTGACTGGGATTGATGGCAGTAGAAAAAATGGATACTGCAGGAGGTTACTGGTCAGTGTTTAACAGCTAACTCACCCTGTGTCTTTACTTTGTCATTAATTAATAATAATAATAATTAATATTAACTCTCTAAACTCAAGCCTGGAGGAAAGGGAGCTCGCCCCCCTGAGGCGTACTGTATCATCAGCAGTTTGGCTTGTTTCGGCCTCTTCTCAAAGGTGAGGAAATGAAGACTATGTCATGTGATTGGGACTTGGGATTTTTCACATTTTGCTGAAAATTTTCTTCCAGGCCTTTTCTTTCAGACTTCAGTGCACCTTCTTTTTTAAAATCCAGTTTTTACATTGTTAATTCTGACTATTTGTGTGTCTGTGTGTGTGCACAGATATTTGACGAGGTGGAAAAGCGGCGGCAGATCTCTATGGCCATGATCTACCCATTCATGCAGAAGCTGCGAGAGGCCCAGTTCCCAGCTCCAGGACACACTGTGGAGATTAAAAGCTTCATTCCTGAGTCTGGAACTGAGGTCAGAACTAAATCCTTTATTCTACTTAAAACAGTCAACCTGAAAGAGTTGTTCTCATCCAATCACATTAAAATGTTGTCTCATTTTACAGTAGAATTACATTCTGAATCTTTTTTATTATATCTAGTGAAACGCCCCCTGGTGGGAGGTTTAAAGCCCCATTTTAAAGTCTACAAGGTCTATGTTAAAATTCATGTAGACAAAGAGACATTCCTTGACACAGTCAGCTGAATCACTATATTCATCAGTGACACAACAGAAATATTAAAACACTAGACAGACAAGAGTTTGTTGTTTTTTTTTCTTGTTGTGCAACAAAAAGAGGATAACAGAAAAAAAAACAACTAAACAAACACCACAGTATTACTCAGTGACACCTGAGAAGCTGTATGTACGTAGGTGTGACTGTGATGAGCTGTGTCTGAACCTGCCCTACATCACCAGACCTGAGAGCTGATCAGCAGCAGTTTGAGCCGTCAGGCCATGTGTCGTGTTTCAGCAGCTCTTAGTTATCTCAAGCATTCGATCACTGTGGCCATTGTTTGTATGATGTACAGTATGACACTGCTGCTACCATCCCTCAGGTCAGTTAGTCGACTCTGAAAGGCCTTTGCTTTATTGTAGAAGTTGAGCTTTTGTTGTATACAGTCATGAGAAGTGGAGCAAACAGAATAAACTAGTAAAACATGCAAACAGGTGTAACGTTGACGGTTTCAACCCAACCTAAGTTGCTGCACTTTTACATTGAGAAAACCAACAACTGTCAGATACAAAAGACATCTGTGTTAACTTTAGTATATTCTGTGTTGTCATAAATGTTGAAACCACAGAGCCCAGCTCGTAGCTCTTTAACATTTACATTGTTTACCTGAAGCAAGAGATGTTGAGGGTTCAAAAGTGGATTATGTTGATACTTCCTTATTTTCTAAATGTATATAAAAGAGAGAAATCAACTAAAGTGAGATAATGAAAGAGAGACACAAGGGGGGGGGGGGGGGAGAAAGAGAGAGAGAGAGAGAGCAGCACAGCTGCTTCAGCTTCATGAGTCACTGAGAATCAGGAACTCCTCTGCCTGTAATTACAGAGTACTGCTCAGGTGTAAGAGAGTCAAATAGAAGACAATTGTCCTGCTTCTATAATCACCGGTCTTGGACCCAAAGTGAAATGTTTTCAGTTTTCACAAGATAAATTTCATTCTTTTTACAGTTACGGTATCATTTGGGAACCAGTTAAGAAAAACCTTTACATTAGACGCCTTGAAGAGATGGTAAACAAAATATAATTGTTGCTCATCGCTTCCATGTTTCGATGTCTTTTCCATTTTCTCCTAGATAATCAGTCTTACTCGTCCACTGGATTCCTGGTTGGAGCATGTGAACTTTGCCATACTCTTTGACTGCCTGACAGATGAAGAGGTGCTGCTGGTGTTTGCTGCCGCCGTCCTGGAGAGACGAATCATCTTTGTTGCAGATGAACTAGGGTGACACATGTTTACCTGCACCAGCACTATTTACTGTAACTCTTCATGATAATAGTACAAATGTGGACAGTTCTTTACTAGTGGGCACTGATGTGAGCTCTTTTCTTTTTTGAACAGCACATTGTCGCAGGTCATCCATGCAGTGGCAGCCCTGCTTTACCCCTTCACCTGGCAGCACACCTTCATCCCCATTATTCCAGAGATCCTGATTGATGTAGTGATGGCGCCCACACCCTACCTGCTGGGAGTCCAGAAACGCCTGCTGCATCTGGTCTGTGACCAGAGTGATGTGAGTAGTTAGTGATTATTGATCACTGTCATTTTTAAAATAATAATAAAAAAAAATCACAGTGAAATACTATAGCGGTTCATAGTTCCTAGTGCAAGAAAGATTTAAGTTGTGGCTTTGTTTTTTCGTCCTTCCTTTGACAGCTTATGGTCGACTTATCGGAGAAAAAAGACAAGACCTTTATATTTTCTGTAAGTGCCTTGTTGTCTGTAATATCATGAATATTCTGATTAAACCTTGTATCAAAGTCTGGATAATCTGAACAAAATCATCCATCATCCTTCTTTAGATGGGTGGTGAAAGCTCCATTCTCCCCCCAAAACTTCAAACAGAAATACTGGAGTCTCTTAGTAAAAGACAAAATGCTTCAAGTGAGTAAAACTATTGGTAGGATCAGTCGATGCAATACTCAGTCAGATCATTAATGTCTTTGTTTTTCCTTGGTCACAGCGGTAGAGGAGCTGAACCGGGTGGTGTCAGAGTCCTTCCTGTACTTCTTTGTGAGAACTGTTGGCCATTATGCCCCTTATGTAAAGTACAGCCATGGAGCTCAAGGGGTGTTTGAAAAGAGAAGCTTCTACAAGGCCATTAACTCAAAGACCACACGGCACTTTGTCAAGAAATTCATTCAGACGCAGATGTTTGACCTGTTCATCCAGGAGGTAGAGAAGCAGCAGCCTGGTCCTCAGCAGGGTGAGTGATGTAAAGAAAAAGAAAAAAAAGCTACAGTGAGGAGAATAGTAGAGATAATTGAGAAAGTAATGATGGGATTAATTATGATCGGATCATGTTCTTTGTGTTTTAGACAAATATTTTAAAGAAATATTTTTCTGTGCACTGATTCCCTACTTTTTTTTCTCTTGCAGGAATATTTTACAGAAAGATCATTGAATACCAGGAGAAGAAGAAAAGGGAAAAGAAAAACAAACACTAACTTTACGTAGGGATCAGTGGTGTGTGTGTGTATATATATAGGAGTACATACTGTAGGATATGATGTGAATGTTTTACTGTTATTACGACCTGTCCCAGTTTGCTTTTTAATTTGTATGTGATTACATGTGCATCACTGTATGGTTAACTTGCTGCTACTCTGTGAAACACTGGTAGATCAAGAGACTTGAGTTCTTCCTCAGCTTGTGTCGATGGTGATGCGCAGGGAAATATTTTGAAATAAAGACTAGTGTTTTTTAATCCCTCTTCCTGCAGTGTGTCTTTTTGGTTCCTTGGTGTTTTTTTTTTGCAAAAAAACATTTTCAACAGAAAGACTCTCGATGAAGCAAGACTAAAAATAGGAACTTGCGTCATTTAACAGCTCAATCAGTTATGATTGTGCTGCTCTTAGGCATGGCTCAAGAGAAGGCTGTGAAGCATAGAATTAACACAACTTTTAAAAAAAGAATTTGGCTTGGTAGAATTATTGAAAAATTGCAGTATTACAATAAATACCACATGGATCATGAACTGAATCATACATGAAATGACATGGTAGGTGAGCAGACACTTGTCACTTCTTAAAATGAATACTCCTAGCATGATCATTGAAGAAACATTTAAGATGGATAAACAGCACCACACATAGGCCGTGGTGGCATATAACAAGAGGATATACAGTAGAATGAACACAGACAAATCCCAATGACTTTAGAATACCTGCTAGTTGATTAATTGCTGGGAACATCACAGTGCAGGCAAGGTGGAGATGAGTGCAATGCTTTTGATAGACATAAACTGCCACTCAAACTAACATTCATAGCAATGGTGTTTGTTCAATAACGTATGGTCTCTGTGTGAACATGTTAGCATCAGCTATCACCTGAGGTTTGAACCATTGACATTCTGGTAACAGTTGAAGACCAATTACCCCCTTATATTGTGTTGCTATATCGTATCATTAGATAAGAGTTTATTTTTTCATCTGAAAGTCATAGACTGAAATGTGACAATTACACTGAGAATTGCAATGCAACAATGCAATTCTATGAACATCTATGTCTGTCTGTCTGTGTGTGTCTGATTCACGGTTCTAAATAACTCCAACTCCGTTCAGTTAGTGGCGCTAACGGACCATTGTGAACGGGAGAGCGTTAGAAACAACAAGGAAGAACGAAAGGTATAAAGATATGAAGAAGAACACAGCATGCTGTGATTGGTTTGTTTGAAGACTGAGTCCGGGAAACTTACGCTGATTCAGTAGTCGGTAAGTTCTTATGCTGTGTTTTAAAATAACAAGTAATGTCATTACATAAAGTCATATTTACATGGAGTAATATGTACGTAGACGTGTTGAACATGTACAATAATTAGTTAGAAGTATCATATTATCACCTGACTCGCATGAAGGCAGCTAATGTTCCCTCTGGTGGCATAAGGCTAAGGTTTATTAACACAAACCTTTGTCATTCTGTTTTAACAATACCACAACAGTCAGTTGTAGTTGTCAACGAAACTTGAAAGTGGGATTTTTGTATTTTTCGGTTTGTTAGCTTTTACAGGGTCGTCAAAAATAAGCGGCCATTTTGACCTCATACTAACAATACTTAAAAATTTTAGGTGTAAGTGTTTCTACATAAAACATGGGAGACAGTCGTTCTAATGGCACCGCTGAACGGTACGAATTTGATGCACCTTCCCATGTCGTCGACTTTCAAGAGCTGGCGAATCACGAGGGCGATGATCAGTGGTTTGGTGAGTTTTTTGATTGTTTGTTTGCTTTTTAATTTCTCTGCATACCAATTCAGTCATATGGTTACGGACATTAAAATATCGATAATTTCACCGATGCTGTTCTATATACACTCGTCTTAAATTAGTACATTTGCGTTAAAGTATGTATCAGATGCAGGGCTTATTTACAGAGGGAGCCATGTTTACTTACTCCGATTTACATTAGCTGACAGTTACCAAAATAGATCAATGCCCGCCTTAATTTTTTTGACATGAATTATGTAGATGTTCAACCAAACAAATGACTTCCCCTTATTTCAAGTTTGATTGAAATCTTGACATCTGGTCACACTCTGAATGTAGCACTTGATGTTTTGATTACATAGAATGAGAACATATTTCACTTCTTCATAGTAAAGTATTATACTGTCTGTCATATATCTGGGGTGTTGCTGCAGATCAACAGGCTGGGGGAGCAGGCGGTCGACTAGTTACACCTTCCAGACCAGACTGGCCCTTTAGGAGAAGCGATATCCCCAACCTGCCCAAAGCCATTGTTACTCCTCTAGTCAAAACAAAAGTGGATGTTGGTGAGCTGACTTTCTGCTGTAACTAAGAAAAAAAAATCATAAAAAATAAAATTAGCACATGCAAAAATGCTCCTCATTGGTAAAAAACATTGGTAATCTTGTAGTTATCGGTGAATCATCTCCACTTTCCAACATCGTCACCTCTTGGGGACCGGGAGTTGTGACCAATGCTCATCAGAGAAGGACGGCTGCAGAGAATCAACCTCCTGCACAACCACGCAGGTGCAGTTGAAGCAAGCCATGTTTGTTGTAAATTGTAATTAGTCAAACTAGCAGTTACTGAGGGCTCATCTCTTGCTGTTTTTTATTTTATAGAAGTATTCGTTGGTATATGTACAAATAATTTTCTCCATTATCCTAAAGTTCTGTTATGTACCTGGGTCGTGACATTCTGTTTTCTGAATGCCCCTATTTTAAAATTTGGAAAAGTGAGTTGTTCTGTTTTTAAATGGTCTTGGACAATTTGGCTAGCTCACACAAGAAGTAAAAGTTAATACTGGTGGCCGAGACATGAGGTCTGCTGTATACCTAATGGTTCCGAGTTTGGTTAGTTAGTGTAATGTTTTAAAATGCAATAAAGTATTTGACCTACAAAGGACTCAAGATGAGTTTTTTTTTTTTTTTGTATCTTAACTCTAGGGTTTCAAAACGCAAAGAGGCAACTAGCAGTTCAACTCGACAAGCTTCAGCTGCACCACCGTCGAAAAAATACAAGAAGTAGGTTTTCTTGCTGTCACCTTTTCTGGTCCTGTATGTATGCAGATCTGTATTCACTAGTTGTCTAACTGTAGCTGTTTATTTTAGGAGTCCTGTTCCTCAACCAGCTCAAAGGTCTGGCAATGTTCTGCGTAGAAGTGGAAGGTTAAATTCCAGAGCTAGTCTTCGCAGAATTTCTCAAATAAATTCCAGGAGTGTATTACGCAGAAGTGGACAACTGGCTTCCAAGACTGCAAACACAGAGTAGGATCATTTTTTTCATTTAAGTGCATTTAAACCCTTCTGAAAATGTTTACTAAAAATATGATTTTTCCACATACTAAGTTTGTTTACTGGGCACATGATGACAATGAAGTAAGAAATTACATGCCTAAAATAGGCCATGCAGCTCTGAGGAGCAGGAGCTGGAGCGCATCAGGAACCTCCAGAGGGAAGTGGCTCTGCATCGCAAGAAGAACGAGGCCAGTTACAAAGCTGCTCTGGCGGGAAGTGAGTACAAACCAAAAAAAAAAAAAAAAAAACTTTCTTTAGAAAGTCCTGCTTCAAAATAGTAGGTTTGCTCATCACTTTGTGTTCCTCTCACCTCAGATCCACCACCCAAGAAGATGGTCTTGTCCACAACTGTGCCCAAGGAGTTTAACTTCATCACCAACACCCGGATCAAGACAAACACTTCAGCAGCACACAAAGAAGTAGACTTTACAAGTCAGCTACGTAAACCTGAATCCCCAGTGAGTACCTTGCATAATTAAGTTAGTAAACAAAATATGTTTTCTTCAAATGTTAATGCTCAACATGTCTTTAGTTGAAGGCTGCTAAAGGTGCCACAGTGCCAAAACCCTTCCACCTGTCAAAGGGCAACAAGAGAAAAACAGATTGGGCAGAAGCCTACGTGTCCATGGCTCAGCAGATAGAACAGTTCCAGAAAAAAACTCCCAATCGCTACCATATGTGCAGTCGCCAGAGTCAAGAGAGAGGTGCTGGAGAGAGTTGTCTCTACTTATTAGCCAGATTCTTGCTCCTCTTTTGTCAGTGACCAAGCTTTTTGTGTTAATCTAAGGGCCATCTCCAGTCAAAGATAACTGCCTGAAGATCACTGAGCCTCACACGCCTCAACTTCTGACCCGCCAGAGAAGTCGTTCTCATTTGGTAAAGAGCAGAGCTGAATTAGAAGCTGATGAAGTAGAGAAGCTCCAGAAGTAAGATTTTTTTTTTTCAGAAATATTAATTTCTGTGAATATGGTTTACATAACAGGAAACATATCTGAAAGCAACATTACAGAAACCTGTGCTCTTCTGCATTAATTATTGCTGGAATTAGGTCAGTTCAACATGTACTAATACAAGATTAGATGTACTGAAACTTTGAAATGGTGTGAAACTGATTAAAAACCACAGATTTTGTAGTGTTTGGTACAAGTGTACGGCTGTGTTTTCTGCAAAGTCATATTTTAAAATAATGTTTTGTTTGTGTAACAGGTTTAAGTTCAAAGCCCAGGAGCTGAACAAGAAGATCCTGGAGGGTGTGGAGGAGCTGAAGAAGCCTGTAGTGAAGGAACCCACAGTACCTGAAGGATTTGAGCTGCAGATTGAGAAAAGGCTCCAGGACAGACAGACTTCTAAAAGGCATCATGAGGAAGAAGAGAAGCCCCACAACTTTAAATCTCAGCCTCTGCCCAAGAAGATCCTGGAGGGAGTTGTGGTGAGTTGTCACATCCCCCTGATGAGACTGTTGTTGTGAATGGGCCTAATGAGGAGGACGGTCTCTTGTCAACAGGGACTACCAGAAAAGAAAGTTCTGCAACCAACTGTTCCAGAGTCTCCAGCTTTTGCTTTGAAAAATAGGGTTCGTGTGGATCGTAAAGTCCCAGAAGTAAGGCAACATGTCACAGTACTTTGTCATCAAACATATTAAACAAATGAGTGATTACAGTCAATGTCAGCAAAATACTAATTTCAGCTTAGTTTTTGATTTATTTTTTTTATATGTGAATTGTTTAAACATCACCTAGTTTTAGGGTGTTATTATTGGCATCTTTTATATCAATATAGTAATTTAAAATGTATTGCATCACTTTATCTAACAGTGGTTGTCTCTCCTGTCAGGTAAAACCACCGTCCCCAGTGAAGGCTCCTCCAGTGCCTCACTTTGGCCTCCCCTTCCAGCCCAAGCTTCCAGAGAGTCACCAGGTGGAGGTCTGTCCTTTCTCCTTTGAGGAAAGAGAGCGAGGGAGGAGAGCACTGAAGGAGAAGAAGCTGGAGGAGTTGAGAAATGAGGAGGTGAGTCTTGTGTACTGATCAAAGCTTAGTGTCTGTTTTTTTTTTTTTTTTTCCCCTCAAAACAATATTTTAAACCCTTTTGCTTCAGTTCCCACAGTTCAAGGCACAGTTGCTGCCAAAGTTTGACACAGTGCAGCTTCCCGAAAAGAAAAAGCTTGAAACAACCAAACCTGAGCCCTTTAGGCTGCTGTTGGATGGACGTAGTGCTGCGAAGAGTCGCCTGGGACAAATAGTATGAAAAGCAGTGTTGAATGGATCTGATCTTAACCATCTAGATGCTTGTATAATTAAACGCTGTCCTCCATGCCTTTAGCTTAGAGAGGAGCAGAAGCAACAGGAGGAAGGAGCAACCTTCAGAGCCAGACCGAACACTGTTATTCATAAAGAGCCTTTCCAGCCCAAGAAGGAAGAGAGGTCTGCAGTAGGTATGACCAAGACTTCTTATGTTGACCCTGCTTCTCTGTACAGTATGTTTGCAGAATTCAACTCTACTAACTTCTGTTCTCCAGACTCAAACATTGATCAGTGTTAATTTATCTGGTCTATTAACTGAATCAATACCGACCAACAAATTTCCCAAAAAGTATATGTAATGAAACTTTCTGGTCTTAATTCCCTCATAGATTTTACTCACTGTGAAACCTGGGCCTGTTTAGTTGAACACAGTGCTGATGTACTCGGAGGAATTGAATAGAGGCACAAAGATCTAAATCTGTTTTTGTTGCGTCTGTTATCACCTACATCAGTACTTCTCAAATAGTGGGGTGGGCCTCCCATTTTCTACAGTGCACTTGATCTTCACAGCAGTTTTTCCCCCTCACACTCGTTCTCCTCCCATAGTGGTGGAGGCCTTTGAGCTGTCGACTGAGCGCCGCGCCAAAGAGCGTCAGGAGTTTGAGCGAATGGCCAGAGAGAAGGAGGCCCTGAGGGCACGTATGGAGGAGGAGCAGAGACGGGAGGAAGAGCAGCAAGAAAAAGAGGAGATTACCAGGCTGAGGCAGGAGCAGGTCAGGCAGGCAGCAGTGGCTTTAGAAACAGGACCAGGTCATCGAAAATACAATGTTTATTCCCTGTTTGTCTGTGCAGGTCCACAAGGCTCAGCCCATCCGACACTACAAACCTGTAGCACTGAAGAAGAGTGAACTTCCCCTCACAGTCCCACACTCTCCAAACTTCACCAAACGCTTCAGCTCGTGAATGAAGTGTTATTTCCTTTAACACTGAGACACTAATGAAATGTTTCCATGTTCCATATGGTTTACTTTTAACAATTTGTCAATTCTGACATTTTTATATGAATTTACAGGTCTTTAACAGTGAATTATAAATGTTTTTAATCGTATCAACTCTACTAATAATAGCGATTGAAGTGGGATACATTGTAGACAAACTGCCAGTCTACTAAAGGGTCCAAATACAGATAGTTAATTAAATTAAACTGTGATCAACTCTCAACTTGTGTCTAACATCTTTGAAAATGTTGTATATGTTGCTAACTTGGCAATTGTGAAGTTTTTATGTTGAATAAAACCAGCACTAAATTGAATCAGACCAAGAGTCTTGGATTTTAAAACATCAGCACTAATTATCTTCCAGTACAAGTGTTAGAGGCATCGTTTTATTAAGACTGTTATTTCTAGATGTTGTTTTACAGCAACCTTTTAATAACTGTTTTCCTTCTAAAGCACTTTTGCTATAATTATTTTTTTCTCACTCCAACTGAGGAGTGTCATATGGATCAGGACCAGATGTTCATATCTGATCCTGGCTGGTTCATATCTGGTGGCAATGATGGTTATGTTAAACTCGAGCTTGAGGTGATTTAATGCCTTTCCTCCACTCTACTTTGGCATTAAGACTTTAGCTATCATTTAATAAACAATGCCATCAAATAAACTGTGATTGTTAAATACATACTACTTGATCTCTTTTTTTTCTTTTCTTTTTCTTTTACTAAAAAAGACTGCACTCTGTTAGATACCTGGGTAACTACAGTATTACCGATAATCCTTTTCAAACTCTTGCATCATGTTTGAACAAATAAGTGGTTAACGTCCCATATACTGTAGATATACTGTTTACACAAACATCTGGTAAAATTCTGCTGACGTGTGTCCATCAGCCAAAAGGATTTCTCCTGATCTTTTGAGACGATAAGCAGATTCCCAGGTGTGATTATCCCTTCTTAGACCAAAGAGAGGCGCTGTTTGCTCAATTATCCTCGACAATTTACATTAGATACAAAACAGGGACGAGTAAAGCAGTATCTAATGACAACTCTCTATCTAGTAATACTTTGAGATAATATTAGTTCTGCAAGATAGAATATGTTTCAATTATATAAGAAGCTCAATATTATAAAGCATATATTTTTTTAGTTCCCAGTTTTTTGGCACCACTCAACAGTAGAAGTGTTCACAGGAAGGGTGTACCTGTCACAGTGTTAAGTACTAAGTCTAATAATACTAGGTTTTATTCTCTTAAAGTAGTACTACAATTTTAAATATTTCCACAACTGACTTGGCTGGCCACACCAACATTCCTATGTGCTTTATCTGTAGGGTGTTTTTGTTTTTGCACAAATGGTAAATAAAGTCCTTTTTTATTCAGTTGTATTTTACTCTAATAAGGAACTTAAAGAAATATTTCGTTGGTTTTAATTTATTAGTTTTGTTTTGGTTTTTTGGGGGGTTTTGTTGGAGGGGTGGCGGGGGTAATTTCCAACTTTTGGTAGTGTCAGACAGAAAGCTACTGAGTATTGTGGAAAAAAGAGCTTAGTCTCTTCACAATATTTCTTCCTCCTTGAAGGATATACTTGGCAATTTACCAGGTAGTAATTTAATTATTTTGTTTACGGCTGCCGCATTTTAGTAATGCGACCAGTAGGTGGCCCATTGAGCATAACTTGACATTAACGCCACGCGCCGTGAAACCCAGAGGAAAAAACAGAGACAGACACCGCACCTTCGACCTAGGTAAGCGAACAAAGACTAACTCTGGGAAACGTAGAAAGCGTTGGCAAAATGAGCGGGTTTTAGACATCATGTTAGAATACTAATCCAACTGAAGCTCATTTGAAGACGCTCTGCCCTTCGCACCAACATTTCAAAAGTAGCGAGCAGAGGTAATTTAGCAAAGACGTGGCTAATGTTGACGAGCTAACTTTCCTATTGCTGTTTGCCTTGGTTAACTTCAGCTCGTCAAGAGTTTGAGGGCATGTGATACGTTTTCCGGCGAGGCTTTACGAAATAAAAGCAACAACAAGTTGAAGACAGTGACCCGGGCTGTATCCCAAACGGGACGTTCTTAATTTTAAAGTAGTTCCCGGTGTAGTTTAAGTCTTTCTCCGTTGACTCTACGTAGTCGGGGAAGTTTATTAGCTAACTACAACGCTAACTAATGTTAGCAGGTTAAGTTATTTATAAAGCTTTGTTTTATACCTCAAAATCAGAAGCAATGTACAGCCATGATACACACGAACGAAAAATAAAAACAATGTATATTGAGACATGACGTAACGTGTAACGTTTGTACTGTATTTAGGTTGTCTCGNNNNTATTTGGGTGGTCTCGTTGCTGCTGAGCCGAAATACTTGTTAAGGTTCGTGGTGTTGGCGTTGGTTGGGTTAATGTATTGGATCTGAGACGAAACCAAACAGGACTAACAACCAGAGTTGAGTTTTTAAACGGTTAGCATCACGTTGTAAGCTTTTTAATTTTGTGCAACGAGAAAAAGCCACGTTTAAAGTCTGCACAGTGTAATCAAAACACAAGGCCACATCGAGCTAAACCACAAGTGTAATTAGATGGCCATGATTATAAGGTTGTATTTTTTACCCTGTTTTTCTTCAATACCAAGTTTCATCTGCACAAAAAGACACATCTAATGTAAACGTCAAGTTTGTATTTATGCTTTTTTGTGTCAGAACAAACTTAAAATTGACGTTTAGATACTTGGATTGTCAAAGCATGACACCAGAGAGAAACTGTTCATATGCTGTCAGTAGGCTTTTTCAAATTACACCCTAAACCAGTTATTCTTAAATGGTGGGTCGTGAAACTAAGGGGCATCACAGGACAACTTTAGTCCTTGAGGTCAGCAAGGTTTTTTTATCCGATTTGCTGGTTTCCTTACTTTTTCAAAACTTTATTTACTGTAACTCACCCAGTCACAGTGTAGACTGGGAAGTATTTATCCATATCCATATTATTAAGTGTTTTCTAAAGTTAAAAAATGATGACAACATTGCTTTAAATTGAAAGACAAATTCCATGTAAGAATTAGCACAAAGTGGTTTGTCAAAACCTATATTTGCAGTGGCTGACTTCATACCAATTTATTTAAAACTTATCCTTTAGCTGCACATATCCATTTAATCCGTTTGTTTACTTTTGAGAAAGTAAATTTACTTTTGAATTTTTAGGTGTTCTTTGTTTTGTTTGCATGACATCCCCATATAGATAGCAATGTTATACTCTTGTTTGTAAGATAGTTTTAAACTATACTACAAATATTTCACTCACAACAAGTGTCAATGCTTTGTGTCAATACTGTGGAACTGTCACAGTTCAACAAGCTACCAAATGCTAAAAAAAGCTGCAATGTCTTCACAACATTTGTAAAAACATTCCATTATTATTCTGTCAAACTTGTTGTAAACACATGGCTAAACCACAACTTTTGAACCAGTCAAATGTTTTTGGTTTTATCTCTAATGCTTCTGTGCTGATCAATTTTGCAAGTTATTTTTATTGTTTGTCTTCCTCATCATCCTGTTTACACTGTTAATCACATGACAACCAGCCATATAGTGTGTATGCTGTTGTGCATAGATTTTATTTCTCCACTCTTTATGTTAATCGAGACATACGTCATTTCTCTAAACAAATATTTGTGGTTTTTAGCCAGTCAAACTCTGCCAACCTGTTTGCACCCAGTATTTGAATGTAAAATCAAAGCACAGACTTAAACACAGTTCACATCTGGTCTGAACACATTAACCAAGTGATCCGAGGGACAGTCTTCTATCATGGCTGTAAATTTAAGTTTTTTTACTTTTCAATCATTGTCAAATAACAAAGACAGAATCAGGCTGAGGAATTATTAAATGTGACAATAATTATGCCTATGTTTACTCTCAAGCTATTCAAGACAACAGTCCTTAGCTGTTTGACATCAAACATGTCTGACAGTAAAATCCACATTTGTTCAGCTTAAAGCAAATTAGATTTTAGCCAAGTACAGAGCAGTTTTAAAAAAAGAACAGAGACTGGGGCAGGTTTATCACATACATGCAAAACAAGGAGGTTTTGCATGTTTTGTTTTCTGTTGTGTGATTCATCTTATAAATCCTAATACTGGTGATGTTCTTGGATGCTGTCGTGCCTGTACACAGGTCTTTTTCGGTTTATGTTTAGAAATAGCACATTGTGAAAACTATTGCTAGTTAAGTTGTAGGCCCTGTAATGTTATTTCCTTAAGATGAATAAACATTTACCTTTAGAAATGGCTGTGTGACCTGAAACTCATTTGTAACATGTAATCTTACAACCCTTTTGAATGTCAGATATTTAATAAACAAATAATTATCTTCATTATGTGTGAAAAAAGCTGCTATTAAAGCACTATATCATTTTAGGCTTTGCAAAACATGACAAATTCATCTATTTATATCATATTTATTTTCAAGGACTGGGTGAACTTTTTTGTTATTTTTCTTAGAGCCTCCACCCATTTCTGGTCATGTTGCAGTAGTACATGATTGTGCTGACCGCAGTATGTTGTAAGACACGGGTATGAGTTCGGCTATCATTGCATAAAACTTGTATTTCATCATTATTTCTTCATAAACGTTCTGTCACATTGTTATTACTGTGCTCAGACAGCAGAGCCAACAGCTTTCCTTCCTCTTTTTCCGCACTAGTGGTTTTTCAGTTAAGCTCAGTGCTGCTTCCTCCATCCTTCTTCGTTATCTTGTTTCTTGTCAGTAATACAGTCATGCTTAGTTGAAGTGGCCTGTCTGGGTGGACAAGACTTTCCAGTCATGTAGAACGATAACGAGAGTTAAAATAGCACACTGCCCACTCACTGTATCGTCTGTGTGTGTGTGTGTGTGTGTGTTCCAGGTAAAGCATGGCAATGACCGGCCAGAGCTCGTGCTCCTCCATGAGTAACCACACCAAGGAGCGGGTCACCATGGCCAAAGTAACGCTGGAAAACTTCTATAGCAACCTCATTGCACAACATGAGGAGAGAGAGATGAGGTAATGTCTACTTCTTACTGCACTGCAACAACATGATTGAAGATAGTCTAATGGGGATTTTTCAGGTTTTTTTTAGCTATGGTTGTATGAGGTTGTGACACACAGTCACCACTGAGTGTATAAATAGTGCCCCTTGTGGCCCCTGTAAGCCATAAATGTTACATTTCAATTTCAAATCTGTTTTGATTACATTTGCATGATCGAAACAGATTTGTGCTAAAAACAATCCCTATCTACATTACCGGTCAAAAGTTTTAGAACACCACACTATTTCCAGTTTTTTTAACTGAAAATTATTCAGTTTATTCTGTCATTGCACTCCGGAATGAAAGCATAGAACACATAAGCAATTTGAAAAGAAACCATGAAATCAATATATAGACCAAAATGTATTTTAACCTTTAGAATAGCCACCTTTGGCAGATATAACAGCTGAACACACTCGTGCCATTCTTTCTATAGAATAGAAATCAAATATTCTTCTTCTTGGGAAAGTTCTTCCCAAGTCTGTTGCAGAAGTTCCCATAAATGTGTGGCCTTTGTAGGTTGCTTGGCTTTTACTCTTCTGTCCAGTTCATCCCAAACCAGCTCCATGGGGTTTAAGTCTGGAGACTGTGCTGGCCACTCCATGTTTTCAAGCTTACCATTTTGTTCTTTTTTCCTGGGGTAGTTTTAAGTAATCCAGAAAAGTTGGAGCACCAGCGTTCAAAGCTGATTCAACCTTCATTGCTGCAGAACAGCTTCAAATTGTTAACCCACTTTGTGTTCCCTGAAAATGGCCTTTTTGTATATTTCTGAAATATACATGACTTTTCAGTTTTAGGTAACTAAACCTTTTTTTTAACCTCTAGCTGTTCAGTACTTACCTTTGTACCATTTCAAGCTATTCGTTGGATTTGCACGACTTGAATTGCAATAAATAACTGGAAAAATTAGGCTGTTCTGAAACTTTTGACCAGTAGTGTACGTCTGCATATCTTATAATAGCTTGATCAACACTTGTCCTGTCAAGCTGGATAAGGAAGTTTGTTTTTCTCTCTAAAACACTTCCTCTAGTTACAAAGTCCATTAGGAAATCAGTAATTTACACAATAGGTCACAGATGTTGATCATCTACTGTTGCCTTTGATATAAAGTTTGACCGTGATATCGTCTTGTAAAATTTTAATTCAACCCTAACCAGTTTGTTTAATGTGTGGCTCTACAGACAACAGAAGTTGGAGAAAGTGATGGATCAGGAGGGGTTGGCGGATGAAGAGGTGAGTAACAAATGCAAATCTGCAGAGTTTCATTGTCGCTGTCCATTAATTTATGCAAAATTTAATGTAAGATTACTGGAGAGACTTCTGGTTATGGATGATGTTTTCATAATAAGTTTTGTTTTGTACAGAAACGTATCAGACGCTCTCAACATGCAAGAAAAGAGACAGAGTTCCTTCGCCTAAAACGAACTCGACTGGGTCTGGATGACTTTGAGTCCTTGAAGGTGATTGGTCGTGGAGCTTTTGGAGAGGTATAGAAATTTGACATGACCATTAAATACTTGTAGTGTAAAATGTTATATATTTAGTAAATAAATATTTAAATATTAAATGTTATTTATCTTATTAATACTCCTATCTTGTGTCGCACCAAATACTTTGCTCCCCAGGCACTTTTAGCGACCACTGCTGTGCAGGAATATGTCGATGGGTTAAATGCACAAACGAATGCACATAGTGCCAGTATATGTAGAGTTCTTCTTCTATATTGTGTGTCAGCTGAATTTTCCTTTGTTTTCCAGGTGCGTTTGGTGCAGAAGAAAGACACAGGTCATGTTTATGCCATGAAGATCCTCCGCAAAGCTGATATGCTGGAAAAAGAACAAGTAAGGTTTCAATACATACACCAGTACAGTGAAAGGTTGTTGTTGTTGTTGTTGTTGTTGTTGTTGGTGGTGGCATTTTTTGACCTGTCTTGTGTTGCTGTGTTCTCCTGGTCTGGTTGTTAGGTCGGTCACATTCGTGCTGAGCGTGATATTCTGGTGGAGGCAGACAGTCTCTGGGTGGTTAAAATGTTCTACAGCTTCCAGGATAAGATGAACCTTTACCTCATCATGGAGTTTCTGCCTGGAGGTAAAAGAAATCCTACTTCTAAGCTGAAATGCGATTGTGCTGCAAGTCCTTAATGTCTCATTTGACAATTATAATCATCAAAAACAGATCATTTAAAGTTCAGTGGATATTGTATATGTCTGCTTAGAAAGATTATTTAGCTTGAACTGGACATTACTGGGGACAACAAAAGGGACAAGAGTAGATCAAAGGTCTAAGCCAGACTTAGATTATGTGTGGCTGTGGTGTGTGCTGCAGGCGACATGATGACGCTGCTGATGAAGAAGGATACATTGACAGAAGAGGCCACTCAGTTCTACATCGCAGAGACAGTGCTGGCCATAGATTCTATTCACCAGCTGGGCTTCATCCACAGAGACATCAAACCAGACAACTTGCTGCTAGACTCCAGGGTGAGACACTGTCAACATTATTGACTATTACTTACATCAAGGCAACAAATACAATTCTACAACAGTGCCACATCCATCTACTGCAGCAGGAGGAAAATGTGGAATGGCTTGATGAAATTTTGTGTCTGTAACTGTGTTAAGAGTGTGTGTTTTGTTTCTTCAGGGTCATGTAAAGCTGTCTGACTTTGGTCTGTGCACAGGACTGAAGAGAGCTCATCGCACGGAGTTCTACAAAAACCTGAACCACAGCCAGCCCAGTGACCTTACCAAGCAAAGTAAAACAAAAAAATATTAAAAAAATTCCTACCTCAGCTGTTTATACAAGGTTTGTCGGAAAATTCATGGAATTTAAAAACGTCATTTCCCAGGCCTAAAAAAAGGTCTTGGAAGTTCACTGTAGTAAACTAGTGCACAAAAGGTCAAGTTGGCTGCAGATTTTCTTTCCAATGAAGAGGCAGCACACCTGACGTGACTGATCTCAGTCTTCAGACATCTGATTGGTTAAACTGTGTGCTCTTGGTTGGTTGAAGCAAAAACCTCCAGCCACACAGCCCTTTGAGGAATGAGTTTGGACACGCCTGCTTTCATTAGGCCTGTTTTTTGACACTAGTAGTATTTTTTTTAAATAGTTTAATTCCTATATATTCTAACAATCATGGGAACTTGCTGCCAAGTTAGGGGAGTTTTGTTGGTTAAAATGTGTATGAACCCTGTTTATATTAAAAAGAGAGAATAAGGTGAAAAGGGAATAGTAGGTCACAGACTAACTCTTATTTTCTCCTCAGCCTTTCAGAACATGAACTCCAAGAGGAAAGCAGAGACATGGAAGAGAAACAGGAGGCAGCTAGTAAGTTGTAATGTACACACGATTACCCCGATAGTGTGAAGCTTTTTCATATCTTTTTGACTTTTTACTTATGATTGTTGTCCTGTTGTTTATGAAAAACTGACATGGTGTGTATACAGTTGCTAGGTGCTAAGGGATGATAAATTCATTTTTTGATTTACTCTTAAGATTTAGAGGTCTCACTTATTTACACTTCCCCATCAGGCTTTTTCCACAGTGGGAACGCCAGACTACATCGCTCCAGAAGTCTTCATGCAAAATGGATACAACAAGCTGTGTGACTGGTGGAGCCTGGGTGTCATCATGTATGAGATGCTGATAGGTAATGACACACACACAAAGAAAAACCTGTTGAAAACTAAAGGCTTCTGTTAAGGCTAGACGTACTAGAAATGTCCTTTGTTGTTGGTCACCTGCAGGTTACCCCCCGTTCTGCTCTGAGACTCCTCAGGAGACGTACAGGAAAGTGATGAACTGGAGAGAGACTCTCATCTTTCCTCCTGAAGTTCCCATTTCAGAAAAGGCCAAAGACCTAATTCTCAGGTGAGCTACACCCGTGTGTCCTTCTACTATAATCACTGTTTTGTTGCAGTAGTTTGTGATCACTATGTTGTGTTTAATTCTTTAAAGGTTTTGCTGCGAGGAAGAACACAGGATTGGTGCTACAGGTGTCGAAGAGATCAAGTCTAATCCTTTCTTCGAGGGCGTGGACTATGACCATATCAGGTAGCTAGTGTTCACTGTAACCCGCATGTGAAACCTCTCCTTAGTTACTAAAGACTGATATTACAGGTGAGGAGATCAGACAGATAGTGTTTTTAAAGGCTTATTCTGGCAGAGAACAGCTAGGTCTTTGCTAAGCTGTCCAGCTATAATGGACCTGATTATTGTAAACAGTACAGCTTCATGTGATTTTTCTGTTGTTCAGGGAGAGACCTGCTGCCATTCCCATAGAAATAAAAAGCATTGATGACACCTCACACTTCGATGAGTTCCCAGACTCGGACATTCTCACGCCAACAAGTACACTTCCTGGTTTAACTTCTTTGTCACATTTCATATTTCATGCCATTGCTTTAAAATGTGTTGTTTTTAACACGGCCTTTCTTCTGCAGACACACAGGTATCCAATCAGACAGAGGTTGACCTGAAAAACAAGGACTGGGTCTTCATCAACTACACGTACAAACGCTTTGAAGGTCTGACTGCTCGAGGAGCAATACCATCCTACATGAAGTCAGGAAAGAGATGAGCACCTTCTCAATGGCTTTTTTTTAATTCATCATCCCATCCCAAACCCAAATAAATCTCCCCAGCGCCCCCTGCTTTCTGAAGAAACTAAAAGAGAACGCTTCTTGTTCTCTATGATGCTTGACTGACGAGCGTCTCGTCAGTCGGGACCCTGCAAATAACAAAGGGGCTCAGTTTCATCTGTCACATCCACCATAGGACGGCCGTTCTCTTTATCTGCAGGTTTGAATTATTTCCCAATGCTTCCGAGGGTACCGCTCTACTTCCTCCTTTTTCCTGGGAACACATCTGTTGGATTATAAAGTGATTGTGATTCTTCTTCTCCAGCTTTTCCTCCAGCAGTGAATGTAGCGAGATGTCCTCTCTCCTGAAACCAGCATTATCTACATTCCCTGCCTACAAACCAGCACTAGTTTGTTTTACCTGGACCAGGACATCCGCTCCACTCACTGCTCCACGTTGACTTGTCAACTTAAACATTGTTTCGCCGATCACTTGAAGTGAGTCCGGTGGTCTTCAGGGATTCTGTCCACAATTTTCTTGTCATTTCCCAAAAGAGCGTAAAGTGCTCTTTAAGAGGAACCAACCAAAGACTGTTTCTGTCACTTCCTGCAGCTTCCACATGTCCTTTTATGGACTGATGCTCCGAAAACCTTTAAATGTATGAATATGGGAATGATGCATTTTGTGGAACTTTTACACATTTTACACTATGATCACTTAGCTTTAGCACCTTCTTTGTGTCTGACTTCCAGTTTGTGGCTGGACAGGAAATGGAAACATGATTCCACGCTTGGCTTCACTGATGCTAATGCTGGTTAGGTTGACCAGCTGTAAGAAAATCACAAGGTCAACAGAATGAAGACATTTGCTTAGACTTCGATGTCTTATGGTTAGGTTGACCAGCTGTAAGAAAATCTAGTGCCTAATTGGGGAAAAAATAAGATGCATATTCAGATGACATTACCATTTTTTATTTTTTAAAAATTAGATTTTATTACATATTTTTTATTTAAGGCCTTTGCACATCACCAGCTATGTGCTCAATGTCACTTTGAGCAAATGATGTTCCTTAATGTTAGAAGGAAGCCATTTTGAGTTATTGTAGATTTTCATAAGATTTGCAAGAACATTCAGTGGAAATAAGAAAAAAACATTTACATTATGGTTTAGATTAAAATGTCTGGATGTTTGCCAAAGCATTGGTGCAAAGGTGAAACGCAGTGTAGATGGTTATATTTTGCTTTTTTTCCTGTGAACATCCTCAAAATAATATAAATACTATGCAACATAAGGTGGTTTCTTACAGAACACCAATGTGCAATGTTTTACTTAATAATTACAGAGCAAGACTACTTAAAACCAAGTGTTTTTACAGTTGACTACAGACTATTGCTAACATGTCCTGTAGTAATTTATTGACATGAGGTTCTTGTAAGGAACTACTAGGTTGCACAACACATAATGATATTTTGAGCATGTTACGGGTCGTGGGACTCGCTCTGTCTGCCTCCAGAGTTATGCTTCAAAACAGCTGCTGTGGACTTAAAAAAACAACCAGGGCAGTTGTGATTAATTGTTATATGTTGGACCAAATATTCTGGTGTGGTATTTCTCTTTGAGTCCCTCACAAGGAAGCTTGAACACTTACTAAATGATTGAAGAATACAGTCGGTGCAGATGGGTCCAGAGAAACACATTACAGTTTAGGAAATTAGTTTTTACAAATGGCACGACACACACACTTATCTGATGTGCAAAGGCCTTTCTGATTTTATATGTAATAAGGCAGGGGTTCATATTTTTTTCGTCTTAGCTCTATTGGTGTTTTCCTGGGTTAAATTTGACGTTGCTGAAGGTCGTGTTAAGATTCTGTTAAATCTAGGAGTACAGGACTCAACATTTCCGGTCCACACAATATCCAAAATGCTGTCATTTTAAATGAATGTACATGATGTTTTATTACGTTTTTATTCTCAAGAAGAGCGTTTTGTTTTTTTTTGCCACATTTATTCTTAAATGCTGTTTTGGTGACTAGTCTGGACTTATATGTTCCATCTTTACTCTGAGCTGTGACAGTGGAAGCTAATACTCTTTGAGGTCTCAGTGTGAAAATATGAAAAGATCACATTTATGATGAAATCACTTTATTCAGATTAGGTTTTGGCCCAGTCAACTGAAGACAATAATTGACCATTTGAACTCATCTGATGGGTTTGTCTCAGAGAGTCGCAATGATGTCATGATCTTCAGTTGGTGAGTTAGGATGTCCCATTTTAATATATTTAATATATCTAGGACTAGCTTAATGTCAGAATGTGGACAAATTGGCATTTATTTTTCCTATTTATTGAATTGAAACCTTTTGGCTGCAGGACAACATCTCTACCCACAGCCATCCACATGATTAAACTGTAGGGTTTTTAGTTGCCACATTTATCACAAGCTTCACTTTGATCATTTTATTCTCATTCCTACTGTTTACTGTTGGCCTGATGTTTCTGACAGGGAGACGCTTCTCAGAGGTGGCTGCTCAGCGTGAAGATTTTTCCTTCTCATTGTCTTCATGCTCAGATTTGAGGTCTGTCAGTGTGTAGATGAAGCTCAGCAGCACATTAGAACATGTTAATCAAAGCACAGTGGAGCCTTTTAGATGTTCTCACCAAACAGTAGAGCATGTGTCCTGGTGTCGTTGATGTGGCAGCGAGTGAGTGAAATTTTAAGATGGTGTGTTGTGATCATGATCAGGAAGAAAATATCGATGTAATGCTAGATGCATGTGGTTTTTACTAAGCAGTGCTAAAGCAGATGAGTGTGTATGTTTATTTTGAGTGTGGGGTTGAGCTGGGAAGGTGGGTGTACATTATTTAAACCACTGTTCTCTCTGGAGTGTGGCTGTTTTTTTTCTGCTCTTTGACAATGAATTATTCTGCACTTAATTGTGTCGTGTCGTCTTGTGAGAAACAGTTTACAAAGCTCTGTTGCAAATCAAGTTTTTATTTAAACACAAAGTTTAAGTTTTAACATCAGAACCTTTGTTAGACCGATGAGACCATGTCATTGCAGAGCCAACTTCTGTTCCATTACAGCTTTTAGTCTCTGGTTGATGTCTGTCATTGTCATCACTCAGTCATCCATTCATGTGAGACTTCATTTTCAGCTTTCTCTCAGATACTTGAAAGATTTTGTGTGAAAAAAGTATTCATGCTTCTAGAGAATCTGACTGCTGCCAACACCATGCTTCACTCTGAAGCATGGTGTTGGCAGCAGAAAGAAGGTACAGTAGACACCAGATATTACTTTAGCACTCTTGTTGTTCCAGTCGGCCTCTGCAGCCTTACTGACCAGTTTTCTACATGTTTCTTTATCCTTTCTGCAGGGATGTCCAGTTTTCAGTCAGGTTCTCAGGAGGCTTTTCATCCCTTGACTCAATCCCAGGTTGTAAACAAGAGGCAAACAGTGCAGGCAGAAAGTTTATTCCAATTACAGCCAGGAAAATATGGAACAGACAACCTAAGTGTGTTTGAACAAACTAAATAATCATAATTGTCTAACATTATTAACCAATATAAATGTTACATGTCTGTTTATAAAAACAAAAATACTTTCTGAAAAAGAGATGAAAGTAATATTTAAGACGTCGCTACATATGTACAGGTAACAATTTGAAGTGTTTGCTGTCATATTTCCCATGGTACATTGCAGTCTGATCACAGACTGTAAAACATGGCCATAATGGGCAGCACAACCAAATGCTTCCCTGGAGGTTTTTGAGGTAACTGCAGGAGGGAACACCCTGAGTTCTGACTCCCTTCATGATGTCAGTGAACCATCCTGAGGAGTTTATGCTCTGATCTGCTGTGTCCACATCTTTGTCAACATAACAATATTAATGTTTAACCTATTTAGGGGGAACTAGCTTATCTGTTCTGTGTTGTGACACTGAGCAGCAAAGCAGTAGTGTAACGTGGAGGTCTAAATGACTCTAGTACCCATCAGTTATAGCAGTTCATGTGGAAATGAGGTAAGCAAGACACACCTGCCCGTTAACTAAAAGTTTTTGTAGCCATTGGCACATTTGGATCACATGCAGGTGATGGTGGTGCTGTTCCTTCTTCCAGTAAAGACTCCAGCACAATGACGACGATGATGACAACAGTGATGATGATGTCAGTTGTCCCTTATTGGCAGCGGAGACAAAGGCACTCTGCGAAAAAAGAAGCTGGATCCCCTGAAGAGTTGACCCTGACAAAGGTCAGAGACATACAGTGTCACAGTGATGTGATGAACTAAATTGTTACACTGACTTAGTTCAGACCTGGTGTTAACCTATGGTTTAGTACGAGGCTCAGATGAAACACCAGTTAGATTTACATGGTTTTGATTTAATCAAAACAAACCTGTTCTACTATGTTCATGAAAGGTGAGTAGGTCCTCAGACAAAACTTAAGACACTTGTAATATCAGCATAAGAGGAATGGAAAAAAAGAGGAAGAACAAACTGTTCTCAGATCATTTTGATAGTCTAGGTGGAATGTCATCAGATGTCATCTAATCAGTCCGGGACTTTATTGTCTCATGTTCTCCTTTGGTGTAAACTGAAAGTGTGAACGTGCCCTGACCTCTCAGTGAAAGTATGTTTTGTTTTGTCCTTCTGTTTCCTTTGGTGCCACGAGGTTTGCTCGAGTGGAGCTGAGTGTGTGGCGAGTGAAGTGTATTTCCACAGGATGAACAGTCAACTAACCTTTTGGCTCAGGTGATTCCAGCAGTGCATCCAGGACTTGAAGATGGGAGAGTTGGGAGGAAGACCTGCAGCCAGACTGAGGAGAGCGAACACAGACAACCACAGTGAAACCAGGATGTCAACATTTATCCACAGGTCTGTCTTCCTCTGGTCCTCATGACCAATCAAAGCATTGTGTAATAACTTTATGTAACAGCAGTTGAGAATTCAATCCTGTTCAGACTGACTCACCCACAGTTGTTGATGGCCATGACATCTGCCACCAACATGAACGGAGACATCAGAACTGTTACTGCGATCTAGAAAAGCAGTTCTGCATTAATCTTCAGAGAAATAACCGACACTGATGATGTGAAAGTGTGACACCAGTGCTGAGCCTTACCCCCATCACAAACTTAGTGTAACTTCTTATTGCTGAGGCCTGACTGAACTGAAAGTGACACAGTTTTAGATCAGTCTGATGGGTTTTTCAGAGTTTTTTTGGAGACAGATTATGAAGAACTACTTCACAGGGTGTCAGTTGTAGTTGTCAGTGAGGGAAAGACACTTACATTTTCGTCTGCAGCATAGGTGTTAATAAAATGACACAGGAGGTTACAACACCACAGGAAGAGGACCTCGCCCAGCACATGAGGAACCAGACCACTGCAAACACACACACATATACACACACACACATACACACACTGAGGCTCTGACCTGTGAAGCTCTAGAAGGAAGATATTCTTTGCAATAGCAGAGACGTTATAACACAACTTACACATAGAATCCTGTGACTCCTTCCTCCTTCACAATGTTTAAAATACACCCGAACAACCCACTGTAATTGTGACACATATATTAGTGTGCAATACAGACACAAACGGTTGTTGTTGTTTTTTTACATTTTACCACAGCACTATGACGAAAAAATGTAAGAGGCAGAAAAGAAATATTACAGAAACTTAAATTTATGCCTAAACTACTGAATTTGAACACGGAGCCCTGATTAGTGTCTTACCTGTACTTGGCCTCTCTGCCAATAAACTGGGCCATACACCGCACTGACATCACTGTCAGAGGAAAATAAGGCAGGTTATTATGACAATATCTGACTGCTATGTATAGCTTTTCAATCACGTGGCAGCTACATCTGTATTCAGCTCTCACCTACGACAAGATGACTAAAAGGAGAGCGGTCACCTGTTTGTACTGTGGTAGTCTAATACATTTTCTTATTTCTTCTCATCCCTCCCCAGCCCCGTGACATGGCGCCCTGTTACAGCTGCCTCACCACCTACCATGAAAAGGATGAGTGGCAACTCTGGACAAACACTGGATGATCATCTCATGTGTCGTCTGGAAAAAAAAGATTTTGGTAAAATGATTTCACCTTTTTTTAAAAAAAAAAAATTTTCTTAGGAAAAAAAATTGGGATTCTTCATAATTTCATCAGTTGAAAAGAATTAAGTCACATGCAACTAGTCTCTAACCTCTTCAACCACTTTCCTGAGTGAAGATTGAAGCTCATCCTTTTTGGACAGAAGCGCCACCTGCTGGATGAACACACGAATTTCCTAGATAAAGTCTTAAAATACCAGAAAGATTTAATCATATTTTATGTCACCAGAAACAGTAGCTGTTGGAACAGCCGTGTCGTCCACATGCCCACCTGCTTGACTTTGCTCCTGACCACACTGGAGACGGCACTGGACACGAGACGAGGAGAGAGGCCTCTGAAGAGTCCCCTCCTCCCATCCACCTTGATAATGTACTGTGCTGAAACCAAACACAGTTCTTGTGAGCTGCTTAACCTCAGGTTTCACTTACACAGAAGGTTCACGGGAAAATCACAGCAAACTCACCATAGGAGAAGAAACCAGGTAAGTATAAGACTTTTCTACCAAACATGGTGGTACCTACAGATGGTGGAAGAGGTTCATGTCCTACCTGGAAACATCAAGGAGATAATTTATTTTAATTTTCTTTTCAATTCACTTAGACTTGTTGGGTTTGTAAAAATGCAATGATTATATTGTAGAAAAGTGAGTCATTGCATGCAAAAAACAGTATTTTTAAAAATAATAATAAAGGCCACGGTTTGATCCTTGGATGACCAGGTGGACCCTGGGCTTCTGCACCATCATTATTAGTCTTAACCCCTGGGATATTACGCCTTGGACAATGGGCTACCAGGAGGTTTTACTGTTTGGTGAACCTACTCCAAGTCTTTTACAAGAAAACAGAATGTCTTGGGTTCAAATCCCTGGCTCCCCTGCACCATTATCAGAGGTCTTATCCTCTGATCTGTTCTGTCATGGACTCTGAGGTGCCAAGAATTTTAACTGCTGGGCGAAACTAGTCTTTAGTCTTCAGAAAAAAAACATACTTTTGTTCCCAAGTGTAACAGTACTCTAAGAGCACCATCATCAGGTGTTCTCCTCTGGCCTATTCTGACATGGACAATGGTCTGTGAGGAACTTTTACTGGTGGATGAAAGTAGTCCATGTCTTTAAGAAAGTCGAATGTTTCGTAAAGTGTCACAATTGTCTTGGTAACCAGGGATTCAAACCCTAGTCTTCTGCACCATCTATCTTTGTCTTATTCTGCAGTTTTATAATTATAAAAGCTTTGGATTCGAACACCTGTAACTGATGTGGTGTTTGAGTGTCTACCTGACAGACAGTACTGATGAAGTACGTTTTTGTCTTTACTTAACGCGATGGTTAGTAACGTATTAGCTTCTTTAGCAACATCGGTTACCTGTATGAGCAGTTTGACATAGAGCAGCGGGTGTATAGCTGCTGTCACTCCGGCCCCAAGCAGCAGCACCGCGGGTTCCACATCAGCCGGAAGTGCTGTGCTTTCCTGCTCCTCGGCAGCAGCAGACTGAGAGGATAATGTTTCTGTCTCCCCCATCATTCACACAAACAGTTTATCATCTGTCTGTGTCACAATCTGCCCAGTCCTTCTTCTTTGGCTAAATAATGTGGAAGGATTATTTTAATTCGCATTGCTGCCACCTACTGGTACTAAATGTCGCCTTTTTGTTTACAACATTATGCTTTATTTGTCTGTTTTTTTTCCTCTTCCTATTACATTTTTTTTCAGCGGGTTTAGAATGATGGACGATATATTTATATTATCTTAAATATAGAAATTCTAGAATTTCTGTACTCACCAATTGGAGTTTCACACTCAAAGCAATAGACTCCAACCCAAGACACAACTTTAAGCTTGGATTTTTAGTTTAAAATTTTTTTTTTTCTCATGACTTTCTGCTTCTTTCTAACACTCCTACTCTATTCTACTTAGAGTTAAAGCCCAATAAGAGAAGATTGAAATTCTTATTTTCTTCATCTTCAACACAGTAAAGACAAAGGAAATAATAATAGAATTCAGGAAGAATCCTTCACCTCTGCAGCCTTTTATCATTACAGGTACTGAGGTGGAGGGGGCTGACAGCTAAGGCTTCTGGGACTGCACGTAACACCTGACCTCGGCTGGACTCTGAACACTCCTGCAGACTGGACTTCATCAGGCTGCTCAGGAATGCTGGACTGTACAGGTGCCCTCTAACCCTTACCTTCAGAGGCCTGATGAGGGCGTCCTCACCTCAGGCATCACTGTATGGCATGACAACACACTACGTACGTGCAGGCGGTGGGGAAAGGGCAGAGAGAACGAGCAGAGACTCACCACTACTAGGTGAGTTTTATATATATTTTAAAATTCTTACCTATACTTACTTATCATATTAAACATGTATGTAAAAATCTTGAATGGAGGTAGGCTGTCAGTACACACCTTCTTGACAGTCTGCAATTTGTTTTACCTATTTTTGCCTTCTGTCTATATTTTACGTTACATTAGACCTTTGTGGTAACACATGTTTTTTTTTACTATTGTATACACTTTCTGTCCAGTCGTTTTTGCAGCAAATTTGGTGAATCAAACTGGAAATTATTATTGAAGAATTAAAGAATTACAGTGCAGGATTATTGAATAGTATTTATGTCCAAACATTATATATTATATTATATATTATATATATTATTATACTACCTTATTATTGTTTTATTTTGTATATTCTTGTATATGTGGTTTAAGAAATACGACATCCTGTGATTATAAACTGTGTAAGTGCAAATTACAGACTGACTCACACACACACACTTCACCACAGTGTCAACAGGACTCTGATTCAAACCTCATTCATTCTCTGATTGGAGGAAATGTCAACAAGACACATTTGCATTTCATCTGCCTGTCATTGTCTCTGAATGATGTCGACACGTTGTCTTAGACAGAAATGCTATTGAAATCTGTTCTTACGCACATTACAATGGACTTAATGTGTTTTGAAAACACACATACACAAACACACACACACTCTTTACAAATCAACTTAATTTGCCTGGCCTGTACTGTGGGTCAGTTGATTTACAGTTATTAAGACAAATGTTAGTCTCGGCTCACTGGTCGTTTCCGTTTGTTCTGTGCTTACAAATAAATGAACACGGCATCTGAGCTGTGGTCTGAGCAGTGGTGCATTAAAGCACAGGCTTTATTGACCAGTTCTGTTTCTCCCTTCACTAGAATGACATGATGGTGCATTATTATTATTATTATTATTATTATTATTATTATTGCATAGTGCTGCAGTAGTAGTATTGCTCCACATTGTTGATATATCTTTATGACATGCTTCACTTTTATTAATAATCACACTGTGCAGCCTAAACCTATTAAAGCCTAAGTACTATAAAAGTATAAGATCTGCTGCTATGACTGTAAATCGTAGAATTTTAATACATTAGTTTAATTTCTAAAAAATACAATGCAAATAGGAAAGGCTGTTGGTTGGACAGTAAGGCAGGAGCAAAAGACCCGTAACTGTTTGGTAAAAATGATTTGGTTAGGAGCTGGTGCAGAAGGTTAGGGTGATAAAGGATAGGTTTGAAAAGGTGCCAGCGAGTTAGAAGAGTGTGTTAGGAAAGTGGAAGGAGTATTTTACAGGGAGCTGTTTGATATAGAAAACTATAATGAATATGATGAAGGATGGCAACAAAACAAGACCTTAAATTATGGTTTCATCATCACTACAGTGTTCATCCTTGTGTATTAGCCACCAGATAGGCTAATGCTAATTTGAACAGAAAGATTGACCTGACTTATTGAACTTATCAGTACAGATGAAAGTCATTGTTTCCTGTAAAGGTGAGGAGTACATGATGGATAGGAAACCGAGGTGTAGCTGAACATTCTTCCTCTGCCCTGTTTGATGTATGGTGCATTTAAATTAAGTCTATGATCCTGTCAGCTCGTCATAAATTTGAAGAACGCAGTCTTTCCAATCTGCAGAGCTGGGACCGATGACATTTTCTACAAATCATTTAATTCTACATCTCCACCTCTTTCCATCTTGTATTGATTTCAGAGACATCATGTTTTCTTTTCCTGATAAACACACACACACACACTGTGTGAGTGTTTTATTAGCTGGTGTCACACAGTCTTTGGATGGATCGTCACTTTATGGATCTCAGTCTCTGTGGGGGTCACTGGGGTCGCACTTGGCATGGAATAGGGTCAGACTGTGAATGCAGGTCATCAACTTGTAAATCATTATGATGGTCTGATTTGATGGGTTAGGGTTTCAAATGCAGTTCAATGAGGACAGATTGGTTGGTTGGCAGCTATTGTGATATAAATGTTCTCTAGGCTGAAGTTGTACATGTTCTGTCACGTTTAGGGGCGGTCGAGGACGGGGCAGGAACCAAAGTGGAGCAACAGTGAGGTGCAAGGAGTTTATTTAACAGTTCAGGGCACCGGGTGAGACGAGTGAGGCCGAAGAACAGGAAGTCACAGGCCACACAGGTGAGTGTGATGAAACCAATTATCTCTGGTGACAGAAGGAAGAAAGACAGACCTGACGTCATGTCCATCCTCTGGCATCCTATAAAGCACTCTAACTCTCACTGACCAGAAACATTAAATAAGAGTCTCAACTGGTTTAAAGTCTTTCTATGTTCTTTAAATAACTAAAGCATAAAACTAAAGCATTTGAAGAAACAATATTAAAACAGCAAGAAAAAGGGTCGTGGTTCTCCTGCTCCCTAAAAAGTCCAGCTTTAAAAGGTCCAGAAAGACAACAGTTGAGGCATATTTTTTCAGAAACAAAAGGTATCCAGAGTGTAGGGTGATTTACAGCACAAACTCCATATTCCAGTGACACTAAGATTAATTCTTCATTATTTTTACAGGCCTACTGCTGCGTGTAAAATAATGAGATATGTAATGAGATGAATTTTTTTTTAGAAATTAAGGAAACTCTAGAAGCACATCAGTGCTATTGGTATGGTTCCTGTAAAGTGAAGAACTTTTAAAGCATAAAGCAGCTCATCCAAACATTTGTCAAAGAGGACATTGTTTAAACTTTTTGAGAGAACTCTTAACCCAGCTTTAATGTTCTCTATAACTTTTAGAAAAGGATCAATAGGTCAGACAACATCAGCGCTTAAATGGCTTTAATGTCACATATTATATTGCTCTCATTTAAAGCACTCAATATTTTTGGAACACTGAACTTTAACAGATTAAAAAACAGACACTATTGATAATTCTTTTTTTTTTCTTTTATTCGGGGCTTGGATCAACTATCTTTACACACGAACTTCATTTTTCTCTTCACTTCTCGTAATTTCCTTTAATAACTTTCACTGTCCGTGAGTTAAAGGATAATTATTCATCAGTGTCTCGTGGTGATACTACAAGTGCCAACTAATGAGTGTTCCCAATCCAGATCATTAGAGTCCCTGCAAACAGATGGAACGCGTTCCCCGTGGCACACTGCAGGAAAAATCACTTTTCTCTGCACTAATGATCGTGACGACAATAACGTCTGCCGGAGGTGAAAACGTTACAGCTGTGGGAGGGTGAAGGCTAAAACGGGAATATTACACACCGATCACAGAGGGTGGAGGAGAGTTCCGGTCATTAGTAATGGCAACAGGAGTTGCTCATCACTGTGTCTTGGAACTTTGGCGTTTGATAGCCTTTGTTTTATCCATAGAAAATGTGTCAAACCTGCCAAATATGATAGCAGAGTATTTAATAAAAAAACAAAACCATAGTTAATAATAATAATTATTTGGTTCAATCTCTCTCACCCGTGCAATTGACAGTCCTTCATCACTGGCTCCATTCATAATCAGTTCTCTTTCAAAAACAATCTGCTCCATCAGACCTTGATGTCTCTCTCTCTCTCTCTCTCTGTCTGTCTGTAGTCAGAGTCGAGATCATTTCTCTTCCGGCGTCGCTTTCTTCTGCTGCTGTGTCTCATGAGTCCATTTAAATGTCCCTCTCATGTCCAGAGAGGAGACACTGATAAGACCACAGAGGTCTGTTCACAGCCAGGACTGTGAGTCAACAGACAGTGGCAAGGACGGAGGACGTGGTCTGGTGTTAATTAGTGAAGGTGCCCTCATCTGTGAGATGTGACAAACTCATTAGCAGCAAAGACTTGGCTTCACTGACACACACAGACACACAGTGTCTTTGGTGTTGATCATCTTAGTCTCTGACACTGAAACAAACATGTCAGAAGGACAATCTCTGCAGTGAATCCTCCTAACTTCAGCCGTGCCAGGCTCCTGTTGGTCTTTGCTAACTGTCAATCACATGCTCTCCACTCATGAGTGGAAGGCTTTTGTGTCTAAAACAAATAAGTTAGAAAAGTCTTGAAACTAGAACATGAAACTATGAATTATTTAGTTAGAATTTCCACTAATTTACGCCCCCTGTTGGCAAACTGATCCTTACATCCTGGCTTTAATTTTTATCCCGTAATATATATATTTTTAAGAATGCTAGCTTCCTTAATGCTGTGCAGTAAAACTTGAGTTGCAATGTCTCTAGACCGTGTGATGAACATCGATCAGTTTGTCTCTAATCCAGCCCAAAAAAGGCTGGATCCAGCCATGATCTCTGACATTTAGCTGGCTGTAAACAGGTGGCAGCAGCTGAGGATGATAATGAAGGGGCAGCTTTCCAAAAGGAACGTCCACAATAGTTGTCACATGCAGGACTTTGCACAGAAGACATCACATGATAAGATCAGGAAGAGACACGTGCATATTTGACAGACAGGGATGGTGGGAAATTCTTGAACTTATCACCTCAGCTCTTCTGAACAGTAACACGAACTTGGGGTTAATCCAATCAGGGGATCAAAAACATCCTTCACCTTCATTTCCTCTTATCCCCCGGGTTGGAGGGCTGTCAGAGTCCTGCGGAGATTAGCCTGGTTTTAAATCAAACAGGCTCACAGTCTCTCCAGATGAATATAAAACATT